GGTTACCGTTGGCTTCCCAAAACATAACATAAGAAAAAATTTAACTGGGGATAAAGCTCAGTGTTAGAAAACATGTTTTGCAGGCAGGAGTCCTAGGTTGCTTAGGAATCTCCTAAGTATGTTGAGAATGGACCCTGGAGCACTCAGCTGGGAGTAATCCCTGAGCACAACTGGGAGTGACCCTAAAACCAAGGAAGTAATAATTGAAGTTAAAATTTGAACAGCAACAAACACTTCACAAAGACTCTCTCCTGTTTGTATCCTTGACTTGTTCCACTAAACATTTAGACAGAATACTCTGCGTTTTCTCTTTTTTTCTCCAGGAGAGTAGAGGAAGAAAGGACAATGACACAGTTATGAACATTACGGTGATATCAAAACTTGAAAAGTACAGAAGAAATACATAAACTAGTTTCAATGGGAATGCAGAATCAGACATTTCAGAAATATTTCACAGAAATATTGGAGTTCCCAGAAAGGGCTGGTTTTATTTTCAGTGTGAACCATCATATATTAAAATTAAGAAAGAAAAATGTGGGGCTGGAGCGATAGCACAGTGGGTAGGGCGTTTGCCTTGCACGCAGCCAACATGGCCGACCCAGGTTCGATTCCCAGCATCCCATATGGTCCCCCGAGCACCGCCGGGAGTAATTCCTGAGTGCATGAGCCAGGAGTAACCCCTGAGCATCGCCGGGTGTGACCCAAAAAGCAAAAAAAAAAAAAAAAAAAAGAAAAATGTTTAATGATCATTGTAATAGGCTCAAAATAATTTTGGTATCAGCAACCAGTTCATGGTAGAAAGACTTCTAACAAGGTAGACATAAAAGGAATTTCCTAAATGTGATTGTGTTACTAATTTTTAAAATATATAGCAAGTATTGTGTTTAATGATGGTACTTTTGGATACTTTACTCTTATGGGAATAAGCCTAGGAAGAGTGCTATCAGCCCAAAGTTTCAGCATCATATTTGAAGTTCTAGCCAAGGCATCCCACCACAAAAGCATTAAGGAGTACAGAGAGAAAAAACAAGTTACGGTTATCTGTAGATAATAATTATGCATAAGTAGAGACTCATAGGCTACGTACTAAAATTAGAGCTTAGTGTTGCTAGGTAGAAAGCCAGTATACAACCCCCAGTTGTATTTTTGTAAACCTACAAAAATATACTTTTAGAACAAAGTTGCCATTTACTGTTGCACCAACATGGTGCAGTGTAAATAAATCAACAAGATTAATAAAGCTTAATAGGATATATGTAAGACCCTGATTTTACATAATATATGATTTGAGAAACCTACTGGAACAAAGTTCTTGTTTATGTTCTTTTCTGATTCAAATCTTAGACTTATGCATGACTTGCATTAGGTTTATGTGAGGTGACAATTCAGCTTGCCCAATATATCATAGGACAGTGTCCTAAAATAAATGTTTACAATTTTTTTTAACATACGATCACATAAAGTAGAATATCTTTCTAATAAACTTTGGGTTCATTCAGTCAGGTTTTACCTACTACAAAATATTTTCTACGACATTCTTGCCCTTTTGTAGTCTGAGAACTAATACTAAATTATTTAGCCATTTTTACCAAATACCATGATGATAATTTATTTTGTAAAGTCAGAGGCATCACCAATTTTAAAGTGTATCTGTTTACATTCGGTTAAAATATTGCTACACTTTGACTAGCACATCATTGATTTCAGTTGACAGTAATACTCATCTTTCCTGTGAAAGTTTTGTTAATGATACACCTGACATATTTCCTATTCATGCTCGCTGAGGGGATTGGAGCTCAGTGCTGTCACAGTGCTTTGCCAGCAGTGCCATGCCTGGCCGCCGGTGCTCGGTATACCAAGGCCAGCAGAGCTACAGCTGACTGCTGGGGAAGGGAGTGGGAGGACTCAGAGCCCGGAACGTGATTCAGTGCCCAGAACATTCCAAGGTTCTACTGCTTGAGGTGTTCCACCCTAGCACCTGAGAAACATTCTAGATCTTTGCTTTTTTTAGATCTGTTAGGACATTTTCAGAATTTTTCTTCTGCCTGCCATCAGAAGTCATCCCTGGGCCCCATGACATTGCTTGTGATTGTAGTGCTCCTATTAAAACGCAGGACAAAAGACGAGGATTTCTAAAGAATAGAATACATGTTAAGTTTATGGACTTGGTATTGCTAATCTGACATTTTTTGTAATTGGGCTGGAGCGATAGTACAGCGGGTAGGGCGTCTGCCTTGCACGCAGCCAACATGGCCGACCCGAGTTCGATTCCTCTGCCCCTCTCGGAGAGCCCGGCAAGCTACCGCGAGTATTCGATATGCCAGACACAGTAACAACAAAGTCTCCAATGGAGACGTTACTGGGCCCGCTCGAGCAAATCGATGATCAACGGGAGGGCCTTTTCTCATGAAGCAATCCATCATGATGAACAAATCATTACATTTTAATTTTGAAATATAAACTTCATGCATGAGATGTTCCACAGCAAGAATTTGTTCTCAGGGGCTGGAGCAGGTAGGGCGTTTGCCTTGCATGCAGCAGACCCAGGTTCAATTCCCAGCATCCCATATGGTCTCCCAAGCACCGCCAAGAATAATTCCTGAGTTCATGAGCCAGGAGTAACCTCTGTGCAACGCCAGGTGTGACCCAAAAAGCAAAAAAAAAAAAAAAAAAAAAAAAATTGTCCTCAGTAGCCAAGGATGTAGATCAGTGATAGAGTACTTAAATGCATGAGACCCTTATTTAATTCTTGGCGCCACAAAAAAAAAAAAAAGATTCTGTACATGATATTCATTCTTATAATCAAAATTTAAAATTCTGCTTTCATGAGGCCACCCCTGGTTTAATTTGAGACCCCATATGGTCTCTCAGATCCATATGGGGTCTCTCAAATCTGGACAGGGGCGCTCCCTGAGCACAGAGCCAGCAGGAAGTCCTGATTACCACCAGCTGTGGCCCAAGGGCAAAAAAAAAAAAATTCCAGGTTAATTATTTTTTTTTAATAACAAATATCAAATAAGATCAGGCTTCTTTTTTCTCTCTACACAAAACTTAGCACACAAGAAATCTGCCCATAATGCAATCATGTCATTTTTTTTTTATGCAGGAGTACTGCTATTTATTCAGCTACTTATTGGGCATGAACTCCACCTTACTTTTTTTTCATTTTTTATAATTTTATTTATTGAATCACCATGAGAGCAGTTACAAAGCTTTTGGTTTTAAGTCTTGGTAATACAATGAAACACCCGTACCTTCACCAGTGTCCATTCTCCACCCCCAACAGCCCCAATATTTCCACATTACTCTCTCTCTACTTTGATCACATTCAGTATTTTGACACCAGACCCACCATTATTATTTGAGATTTTACCCCAACACTCAGATCTGCTGAAAAGGCAACAGTAGACAATTTGTTTTCTACTGCTGGTTATGAATAACATATGATGTTGCATGGCTGCAGTAGTGGCCACGCAGTTTTGAAATTTTGAAATTTTAACACTTAAATCTGGAGGGATTTCTGCCAAATCCTGCTGGGTTCCAAGATTTGTTCCCGAGTCTCTGAAATCATGGCTGTTAAGCATGATCAGGAGCCAGAAATGCAGTTCATGGGCGGCGACTCGGGGTCTCGTTGGGACGGGGAGGAAAGGGCCGGCTCCACCCCCATCCCATGAGGCCCTGCTTGTCTCGTCACTGAGGGCCCAAACCTGACTGTCCAGTGACCTCTGGAGGATGGTGGCCACCGAGCCACCTAGGGGGAGCAGGCAGAGGGACAACACCCTTTCCCCCCCTGGGGTGGCCTGGCGACAGTAACCTACTGTGGGGTCCAGACGCATTTCTGCCAAAAGCCACTGGGTTCTGAGATTTGTTTCTGAGTCTCCTAGATCATGGCCATTAAGCAGCTTGATCAGGAGCCAGAGAGGCCATTCGTGGGTGATGACTTGGTGTCTCGTTGGAGTGGGAAGGAAAGGGCCAGCACCACCCCCATCCTGGGAGGCCCCCCGTGTCTCATTGCTGCAGGCCCAGACTGTCCAGTAGCCTCTGGAGGATGGCAGCCACCAGGCCACCAGGGGGAACAGGCTAAGGCATGAAACTTATTCCCACCTGGGTTGGCACAACGCCGGTTACCCACTGCAGGGACTGGTCGCATTTCTGCCAAAAGCTGCTGGGATTCGAGATTTGTTTCTGAGTCTCTAGGATCATGGCCGTTAAGCAGCTTGATCAGGAGCCAGAAAGGCAGTTCATGGGCAGCGACTCGGGGTCTCGTTGGGATGGGGAGGAAAGGGCCAGCTCTACCCCCATCCCATGAGGCCCTGCATGTCTCGTCACTGAGGGCCCAAACCTGACTGTCCAGTGGCCTCTGGAGGATGGCAGCCACCTGGCCCCCAGGGGGAACAGGCCAAGGCACGAAACATATTCCCACCTTGGAGTGGCCCAGTGCCAGTAACCTACTGCAGGAACAGGATGCATTTCTGCCAAAAACCTTTGGGTTCCGAGATTCATTTCTGAGTCTCTGGGATCATGGTCGTTAAGCAGTTTGATCAGGAACCAGAGACGTCATGTCTCCAATTATATAGCTGAGCCGGAGGTGGTTTGTGGGTGTGTCTCCCACATACCTAACTTTTGGGCGTTTACTTTCTTGGTAAACTTTGCCCCAAGTTTTTGGGGTCTGGCCAAAGGCACAGCAGCAATTTGGGGGTATTTGGAAGTCTGAAGGCACATCAGGCTGCTGATGCACTCTCCTCACAGGTACAGATTGACCTGCTGGTGGCACCATACCCCCTCATGTCATTTCCTGATGCTCACTGTATGACTCTTTGTGATAGTCTGTTACATATCACCTAGGTCAACTCAATAAACTGAAGCCAAAAAGTCATAGTATGGTAAATTTGAAATTTTATGATTCATAGTATTTTGATTATTATAATTATAGTAATTTTGATTATTATAGAATTTAAATTTTCCAGTATTAATAAATTCTTCTCTCTTTAATAATACAGGTTTTGAGAGTATTTTAGAAGGGCTCTATGGACCACGGCTACGAAGAGACCTCAGTTTATTTGAAGGTAATTTTTTTAAAATTTTACCTTAAAATTTTTAACTTTCCAATTTAAATTTAGCAAATAAAAAAAGTTGTAATAAATATTAAGTATAAATTTGTGATTTTTTAAATTAGAAAACATATTTAAATAATTAAAGGAAATCACTCAACAGTAATCCTGTTATTGTCTAATATAATGGGGGAAGGGTTGGCTTTGGGCCATCCCTGGCTCTGTGGTCAGGAGTTGTTATCCAGGGTGGTGGTGCTACAGGCACCTTGGGCTATGTTAGGGATTAGAACCAGGGTTGGCTGCATACAACAACACAAGTGCCTTATTCCCCTGTCCTATCTCTCAGGGCCCCTATAATGATTTTTAACAGCCTCAGCTTCCAAGGACCAGTGCACTCAACCTGGGCTTGTAGGCATGATATTGTATTATTCCAGCTTGTTGTTTGCTGGGGGCAACAAGACTGTTCAGTGGAGGTTACTCTACTTCAGTGGAGGTTACTCTACTTCCTTGGGCTGCCATGTGGTACAGGACATCAGCTCAGAGTCTCACACTTGTGAAGCATGTGCTCTGCAACTCACTCTCTCTCCCTGGCCCCTGCTGTAACAAATGGTAACAAAATAGCCTGGAACTTAGATTGTCATTCTGAAAAACCCCACAAAGCTTTCCAAAGTTTCGTATATGATTTTGTTCTTCCAAATGCTCTAGAATAAATGAATATCTAAAGAAATGTTTATTGTGATGTAATTGTTTTGTAGATATCTGTAATTTTACAATACAATTTGTTTACCAAATACATGGTGCTAGTACTGATTTTCTACTTTGTAATCTTGTTTCTGGTTAACTTTAATGTACCAAATCTGCTGCCTTCTCTTCTGGTTCCTTCATTCAGCTAAGATCCACGTGTCCCTAAAGGTCAGTATGCCCTGTACAAAAGCATCTTGTATGTTGAGGGAGTGGTAGGGACAGGAGAGTAGTTCAAAGTTTTCTACTTACCTTTTCTACTAATTTTGATATAGATAATTGAATTATGAACCATGGAGTTCAAAGTATCTCTGAAAGCTGGTTTGCTATAAAATCCTGATTGCCCATATTCAGTTCATCGAATGATGTGCATGCAAAACTTTACTTTAAGGATAGGAAGTCCAAAATATGTCTGTCCATTATTGTCAAGGTTTTCTTCTTATATCTCGCCTCCAATCATTTCTCATTTTATTGTAGTCTGAATTTCTTTTAAATTACGTGATACATTTACAAGCAGTCTTGACTTAGAGTTCCACCCGTTTCCTGTTTCTCTCCCACACCCCCTCCCTTCCAGCCCTGCTTGCTTTTTCACCCCATCCTGGAGATTCAACCCAGGGCCTCACAGTGCAGTGCAAGTGATGCTTTGCCACTGAACAGCATCCTTAGCCCTCACCTGTTTTTCTGAGCTTAACAACTGAACAAAGGAAAAAAATCTAAAGAAACTAGAATTTTTACCTATCTTCATTTTTCTTGTGCCTTTCTTTCTTAAATTGCTGTCCACATTCATATCATCAGTCAGCCTAAACATAACTGCTTCTGTATAACTCGAATTTCAGCTGTGAATCCTAGTCTCTTCCTTTCCTCCAACTTTTTATAGTTACTTTCATATTTATGTCTCTTAGGAAATTAGTTTTATGAAATGAGAGATGGCATGTTCTAAAGAAGGAAATGTTTATATTTTTAGGTTAGTATTTTCTAAGCATACAAATAACATTTGTTTTAGGAAATTAAAAAATACAAATAACCCAGAAAAAAGAATTACTTCTTGGGGCAGGAGCAACAATACGGTGGGTTGGGCATTTGTCTGGTCCATGGCTGACCCGAGTTTGAAGCTTGATCCCCAGCACCCCATATGGTCCTCCTACTCCTGCCAGGAGTGATTCCTCAGCACAGAGCCAGGAGGAAGCCATGAACACTGCTGGCTGTGGCCCAAAGCCAAAAAAGAAAAAGAAAAAACAAAAACACTACTATTTCTACAACCATAGATAGCCTGTTAACATTTTATATACGTGTAAATTATATCTGTGCATATTATTTTACTTATGCATAATATAAATTGTTTTGTGGCTATCGTCTGTTCATTTTTATCGGTAATACATAAAAGTTCTGGACCATCATTCCTAATGACAGCAAAATATTGTGAATTTGTTATAGTTTAATAAAGTTAATATTTTCACCGCTTCTGTTACTCTCATACTTTGTGTCTCCATTTGTTCTTCTCTTGGTGGGGGAGGGAGGGTGAGCTATAAAATCTGCTACGTTTTTCAGCTCAGGGTTTTTTCCAGACATAGGCACATATTTGCTCACTGCTCCTTTACATTCCACGTTTTCTTATTTTTCTTTAGTTTTCCTAGTAATTTGTCCTCTTCTTCCTTGCTTTTTTGAACTTTTTCCAGAAGCTTTTCTAATCAGTGTTTTACCCTTAAAAATGATGGTTGTTATACTGGTAAATTCCTATCTGCAGGGATGGAGATAGCTGTACATTTAACAAAATTAAAACTGAGGCCCAGAGAAGTCGTACAGCAGGTAGGGCACTCGCCTTGCAGGCAGCCGCACCAGTTTCAATTCCTGGCACCCATCCTATGGCTTCCCAAGCTTCCAGGAGTAATTCCTGAGTTCAGAACTAGGGGTAACTCCTGAACACTGCCAAGTATAGCCTGAAAACAAAATTTAAAAAAAAAGTTAAAACTGTATAGTCACATTATAGAGCCTTTTATAATATGGGTATTTCTCAAAAGAATAAGACTAGAGCACCTATATATCTAGGAAATCCCCCTCTGAGGCATATACCACCCCCGACCCCCCAAAACTAAAAATATTGCTCAAAATGATTTATATACACCTATGTTAATTGCAGCAATAGCTGAATATGAAAATAGCCACCCAACAACAAACAAAGATATTTTGTGGCATCTATGGCATATAGACACAGTGGAATACTATGCAGCTATGACAAAAGAAGAAACCTTGCAGTTCACTGAAACTTGGATGGAAATGGGGGTATTCTGTTGCGTGAAATTAGTCACAGGGAGATCGACAAATATTTAACTGGCCTCACTGATCTGTAGTACACAGGGCAACAAAATGAGGGAATTGGCATAATCAAATAAGGATAAAACCTTGACCTTCGGTTACAAAACTGGAATTACCAAGAAGTGGAATTAGGGGGAATGAAGAGGAGGGTAGAAATGATAGAAGCATGTTGATGGAGAGTCTTCAGCGCTTTGGTGCAATAACTGTACGTGGAAACTATAGCTGCTAACATGATTGTAAATTTGTTACCTAAACTGCAATTTTAAAAAGTACATCACAGGGACTGGAGCAATAGTCCAGCGGATAGGGCATTTGCCTTGCACGCGGCCAACCAGGGTTGGATTCCCAGCATCCCATCTGGTCCCCTGAGCACCTCCAGGAGTAATTCGTGAGTGCAGAGCCAGGAGTAACCCCTGAGCATTGCCTGGTGTGACCCAAAAAGGAAAAAAAGGTAAAGGTAAAGGTAAAGGCCCTCCCGTTGATCGTCGATTTGCTCCAGTGGGCCCAGTAACGTCTCCATTGGAGACTTTGTTGTTACTGTGTCTGGCATATCGAATACTCTTGGTAGCTTGCCGGGCTCTCCGAGAGGGGCGGAGGAATCGAACTCGGGTCGGCCATGTTTGGCCGCTTGTAAGGCGAACGCCTACCCGCTGTGCTATCGCTCCAGCCCAAAAAAAGGAAAAAAAAAAGTACATCACAGAAAAACCAGATAGGACACATAAGAAGTCAAGGAATATTATAGTCCTAAGACATTCCTATTAAATCTTTTAGATCTAATTAAATCTATTCTCTAATAGATTTATCTGGAATCTATTAGGCAACCTCCCTGACAACTGCTCAGGAGGGAGGGAGGGAGGGAGGGAGGGAGGGAGGGAGGGAGGGAGGGAGAAGGAAGAAGAAAGAAAAAGAAAAAGAAAGAAAAAAGAAAGAAGGAAGGAAAGAAAAAGAAAGATTATATATAAGCTACTCGTAATAGCGTTTTTCTTATCATTATTAAAAAATTTTTGGTGGCACTGAGGATAGGGTGCTTGCCTTGTACACAGCTGACTCAGGTTTGATCCCTGGTACCTCGTATCGTCCCCCAAGCCGTCCAGGTATGATCCCGCAGAGCCATGAATAAGCCCTAAGCGCTGCCAGCTGTTGCTCCATCAACTCCTCCCCCAAAGTAATACAAATCGTGTCTCTTACTGTAGGAATGTGCATGTCGGGGCTGGGGAGGGAGCCCAGGAATGAAGGCAGATGCTGCGAATGTCGCCCTCCCCCGTTTAATGCCGGCACCACATGGTTGCTCAGGGTGCAGCCCTGGAGGACCTGCTGCCTCCCGAGGGCCAGGTGAGCCCTGGTCCCACAAGGCCCAAGCAGCACTGCATTTCCAGGCCCTCTTATTGGACCACAGGTCGTGTGCACAGAGAATGGCCCTGAGGGGACCCCAGGCCGCCAGAATACCACTTGGAAACCCCCCCATTTCTCTCTACCCCCAAAATTCTGCAGGTAGAAATCATAGATTAGGATGTGTTTTCAGGTAAATTCTTGGAAATATGAACTGCAGTGACTCACTGTCTGAAACTCAAGAGCAGAAAAGAGATGAGCAGGGTGTATTATTCATGTCTCGTTTTTATTATAAAATTACACATAATATTTTGGCTATGTTTATGCAGATTAAGTTCATTTTGAAAGCCTATTCTTTATGTGGAAAATATATTCTGAATGCCATACCTTAAAAATCACCTCTGACACAAAGTGTTTTAAGTTGACAAGGTTTTGTATCAGAGCTTTTTAGAAGATTTGTATTTTAATGCTTAAATTTGATTCAGAGCCATCTCCAGGTTGAGTAACTGAAAGAAGCTTTTGAAATGCTGTTTATTTTTAACTTGTTGAAATAAAACGAGTTTTAGCCTTCTGTCTTTGATCTGTTCTCCTCACTTTCTGTTCTTTTGAAGAAAACATAACTATTTCAGTTT